CAGAAAAAGGTCTGCCTGTGACTATGCCTGAGAACTGGCTGCCCTGACTCAAGTTGTTTCCACACTCAAATAGTGTAACCTCTTCTTTCCTTGATACACACTCCATAACTGCCTGTGAGTTCTGTATGTATTATTGAACTGACTAGAGAAGCAGTGAAAGCTGTGGGAGGAACTGGTGTTGGAATTGTTAGTTGTGGAATGTGGGAGGCATATCTGATCTCAGGGAATTGGCTTTGTGCTGTTGAGGGGAATTATTTCCCCTGTGAAGTTAGTACAGCTCAGATGATGTCTCCCCCATACCCGACACCGTTTTCACAAGGTGCTTTAGATAAAGCTTTATTAAAAGAATGATGGGTGAGTTCAAACAAACTCTTGGGAGAAGTGAGATTTGAGAGAGTTCTCTTATCTCTTGTTACCAGAGGTGAAATCTTAAAATAGCCAAGATGAAGATTTAAGGGAAGAAGGGAAACTTGGCTCTGATTGGAAATTGACTTGGGATAAAGGTTTAGGAAAGGTGGATGTGAATCTGATGAGGGCTGTGCTTTTGCTGAGCACGTACAATGAAAGGACAAGGTGCAGCAGAGCTAAGGGCATTTTAAAAAAGAGGCTTTCAGGAGTTGATTTTGTTTCTTTTTAGTATTTCATTGCAGTTTGGAATTTTTATTAACTGGAGTTGAGTATGTTAATATGGAGGCATTACAAGAGAAAAGGAAAGAAGAGTGCAGCTGAGAGTCTGTTACTACCCAATGCTAGTCTCATTTAAAAATAGTAACTTTAATGGTCCTAACTTCTTGGAATGCTACATGGTTCAAAATCAAGAAGGGAGTGTGTCAGGAATGAGTCCTGTCTCCATACCTTTTCAGTCTATATGCAGAACAGATAATTTAGGAGGTTGGACTTTATGAGGAGGAATGTGGCATCAGGATTGGAGGAGAACTCATCAACAATCTATAGTATGCAGCTGACACAACCTTGCTTGCTGAAACTGAGGAAGCCCTGAAGCACTTTCTGCAGGAGGTCAAGGACTGTAATCTTCAATATGAATTGAAGCTCAATATCAAGAAGACAAAGATTCTCACCACTGGGCCAATTGGCAGTACCATAATGGATGGAGAAGAGATTGAGGTTGTTAACAGTTACAGCTTGTTCAGCTCCTCAGTCAACACTTTTGGCACCAGCAGTCAGGAAATCAAAAGGCAAATTTCATTAGGTAAATCTTCTGTCAGGGACCTTTCCAGAGTACTGAGAAGCAACGAGGTCAGTCTAGAGACTAAGGTGAACCTGATACGTCTGTGGTCTTTGCAATTACTTGCTATGCATCAGAGAGCTGGATAATGACTAAGGAGAATAGAAGAAGAATTCATGCCTTTGAATTGTGGTGCTGGATCAGAGTCTTGAACATACCATGGACCACCAAGAAAACAAATAGTTCTCTCCTGGAGAGGGTGAAACCAAGTTTCTCCTTGTTGTTGTTGTTGTTATGTGCCGTCGAGTCGCTTGCGACTCATAGCGACCCTATGTACAACAGCCCTAAACTCTGCTCTGTCCTGTGCCAATCGCACTGTCTCCGACACTCCCATCCTGATTATCCCAGTCACTGAATCAATCCACCTCATAGAGGGCCTTCCCCTCCTGCGCTGTCCCTCCACCCTACCAAGCATGATGTCCTTCTCCAAGGACCGGTCTCTCCTCACAACATGTCCAAAGTATGTTAGACGGAGCCTCAGAATCCTTGCCTCCAAAGAGCCACCCGGTTTAACCCTTTCCAGGATGAATCTGTTTCTCCTTAGAGGCCAGGATTTTGAAGCTCCGTCTCACATACTTTGTGCATGTGGCCAGGAGGGACCGATCCCTGGAGAAGGACATCATGCTCGGAAGGGTGGAGGAACTCTGGATAGATGGATTGATACAGTAACTAGAGCAATGAGGGCAGGTGCATTGGAGTCAGTAAGACTGGCTCAGGATAGGGCAGGCTTCAGAGCTATTGTACATAGGGTTGTTATGAGTCACAGGCAGCTTGACAGCATCTAAAAACAACAATAGTTTATGTGATGCTATTTTTCCCACACTCCTGGATTTACAGGAACTCTGATGGTATAGATTGTAGCGAATTGTGCTGCTGATCAAAAGGCTTTACATCTCCAGCAGTTCAAATTCACCAGCTTCTCTGAGGGAAAAATATGGGCAGTCTCCTCCTGTTAAGATTTACAGCTTCAGAAGCTTGCAAGAGGGTTCCCTGAAGTGGAATTTACTCACTGGCAGTGGGTGTTTTGTTTTACAGGTTTTTAAAATTTAATGAATTTAAGTATTTTTTTAACCTTTGTGGAAAATGCATAGAATGTTGAATGAACATATATCTAAATCCTGCTAATAAAAGATAAAGTAGGAAAAAAAAAACTACAACAAAAGGAGTAAAAAAAAAATGGTAAAGTATCTCTTTCCCTAACCTCTAGATATTATTCATTTCATGTTTGCATATTTGATAAGAAATGGGTGCCTTTGCTCTTTAATTTGCCCTGGTTTGTATATATTTCCATTGACCATTTTGTAAATTACTTGTATATACCCTTTGCCCTTTCTTTCCTTTAATTTCATAATAATCCGTAGAAACACTTTTGTGAAAAAAAATCAAATGCAGTTCAGTCTCACAGGCTCACTCTGAGGAGAATTTGGAAATCAGTTTTTTAGGCCCTTTTCTAGGCATCTACAGCTGTGCAGTTTTGTTTTGTTTTGTTTGCTCTATATATTGTGTTCCAATCTAGTTTTCCCTCCTTAACAACAGTCTTGGAGATAGTTTTGGAGTCAATACACTTGCTGACCACTTGGGAGTCCCTGCCCAGTTCTTTCCTACTGCAGGCACTGCCCTTGGTAAGGGCTGAATTATATTCCGTGGAGTTGGAATTTGTATAACCACCTCCTACATTTTGGGTTGTTTTTTTGTTTGCTACAATTGCAAGCAATGCTGGTAGGAATGTGCCCATGTGTCCCTGCCTGTTGTGAAGTGGGGAGAAAGTGGTCGAGAGACTGCCAAGCAGGTAATTGCTTTCCCAAAAACAGGATTTGCAAGTACTTAGTTCTCCCTATCTTACTGGACACTGAATGTTATCAATCTGGCACTGAATATTAATAATCTTGAAATGTTTCTCCAATCGAGTAGGTGAGTAATATCTTACTGTTGTGTTAGTCTGCATTTCTCTGCTAACTGGTGAGGGTGGGCACCACCATTCATTGAGGTGACAAATATTTCACATCTGTGATGCGCTCTCTCAGGCACAATGGCAAACACTATAATGACCAAAACAGTATTTATGATTTATATATATGAAAATTTCCAAATTGACTTTTTGATGTAATTTGTAAGTCATTCTTCTTGTATGCTTTCATCCAAATTATCTAAAATCATATATGACTTAACTTTTTAAAAAAACAGGTATGTTACTATAAACAACTGGCCAGAATCTGCTTGCTGTTGAGGGCAGCTCTTCTCTCACAGTGATGCTCCCTCCAGTCAGGGCCTGGGGTTTAGGGACTTTCCTTTATTTTTTTCAGGCCTGTCGGCTCTGTGAAATGAAATTTTAAAAACCCTGTCCAGAAAAGAGAAGTTTACTGCCTTTCTAACAGGTAAAGTTGTCCTCCACAGGTAGGACACTCCATTGAGATGAAATAGTAGCTGCAGGACGTAGACCTCAGTGTCCTACTGTGTCTCCCAATTGATGATGGTCGTGGAGAGCCCAGGGTCCCTGAGGACAGAAGAGCAGGCATCTGGGAGGCCCTGTCCAGTTCTCTCCTATGTTAAGTACTATAGGGTCTAGGCCTGTGCAGGACCTATTATTATTATCTATGTTGTTCTCACAACCTTTTCTCTGTCATGTGAGGAGCAACTGCTCAGTGCAAAAAACTGAAAGACAACCACAGGATGGTAAGAAGCTTCACATTTCAATCCAATAATTTCATTGTTCAGAATTCTGTTCACAGACCATTTATTTGCATTCTGGAAAACTAGGCTGCTTGGGAATTCCCACCTAACAACGAATGTGGGTATTTCTGACTTTGGGACCTAAGGAGCAAGCAGCAAAAAGAGGCTGATGACTGGGCTCCCTGTTAATGGGATCTCATGGTGACCACTGTTTAAGAGACTGAGACACAACCACAAATGGTTTCTTTCTACCTCAACAACAATTTACTGAAGGGACTGTTTAAGGAAGAGAGTTTCAGTCTCAGTCTTGTTGAAACAGACACAGGCACTTACTTAAAGGAGTGTGTTCTGAAGCAGAGACAGAACTATTTGAGCAGAGTTTTGAGGGTCAGATCAATCTTGTCTAGGCCAAAAAGGAAAAAAAATAAAAACAGGAAGGGCCGGTCAAGCCGAGGGAACAGCTCATGAAAATGCCAAGAAGCAAAGGAGAACAGGTGAGATCCAACAACTGAGAAACTGTCTCCTGAGGTTGGAATCCCAAAAAAACTGAAGAGGGTGGAGAGGTTCAGAGAATGAGACAGAGGCTGGGGTCTAGAAGCTTTGTTTGCCTTGTGGAATTTGGATTTCAGCACCTGAGAAGCCACTGCAGGCCCTAATCAGAGCTGTGATTCCCAAAGATCATTCCAGACCAGTCAACAAGGTCCTCCTTAAAATGACAAATCAGGTTGGCCAGAGACAGTGCAGATGGAGGTGGAGTTCCCTACCCTTTAAAAGATTAAACAGGTACATGGGTGACAGGGGAGGAGGCAACAAAGGTCACTATCTCCCAACTGAGGGTCTGGATGGAGGGGCCCTCTACACAGCAGAAGAGGAAGATGACCGAAGGTTGAGTTCTGGGATAAGCCTTTCCTCTGGAGAAAGTATCTGAAGCTCAGGGCCGGCTGGAGGTCAGCAGATGCCCCATGAAGCCAGAGGAATAACGAGCTGACTAGGAAAGGTATGCAGAGGAAGGGGGAGGCCTGAGACGAATCCTTTAGGTTTAGGAGGTGGGGTGATGGCTGTGGGAGTAGCCTAGGCGTGGGGCTCACTGGATGCGCCCCTCCACACGCAGCAGCAGGTAGTCCCTGAGGAGTGGGGGTAGCGGGAGCCAGGTGGCTGCCTGGCGGCAACAGCCACCTAACTGAGCACGCACGGCCAGCCTGGCCAGGTGCTGCAGCTGCCTCGGCTGGTTCACCATGCACAGGGCCGAACGGTAGAAGGCTTCGTGCTCCTAGGTTAGGAGTAGAACTGGGTTAGGCGACCAGGCATATATAACTCTTTGCCCTCCTACCTGGAAGTCATTGAGATTTTTGCAACATGTACTCACCTTGATGCCTAGAGCATCTCAAAAGCTCAGATTATGAACTAGAGAGGTAGAGATGATGGGGCTGACATCACACTGCAGGGCAGGTTCTTAGATATGTCTGTGCCCACCCTCATCCCCGAAAGGCTCACACAGTGGCCAGCATCACAGGTGACTGGCTGGTCAGTATTTATACTAATACAGGTGAGAGAAGCAGAAGAAGCTATGGAATTAGAGGTCAGACTGAACTCTTAGGGGCTGGGGACCCTGGAATCCAGGGGCTTCATTCTGCCCATCCTCCAGCAGCCTCAGAGACCCTCCTCCTCATGTACAGGTAGGGCCCTGGGGTGGGCATACCTGCCACAGTTCTGGAGGCACTGCATCCACCCAGGCATCACAGGATGGAACACAAGGATAGGCATTAAGCAGGACTTCCAGGGCACGTGGGAAGGAGGCACACAGTTTCAGCATCTGCGAGTTAAAAGAGGAGATCAAGGCGCTCTGCTTCTCCCAACCAAGTGTGCACCCCAACCTAGACTAACTTGGCCCCCTCCCCACGTCACACCCTCTAGTTTGAGCCTCTCCTCATCTTTTTCCAAGCCTCGCTTTCCTGCACTTTTCAAGCATGCTCCAACCTCTTTCCTTGGAGGTCCTTTCCTCCCTACGACCACCTAACTCACACAGCATTCCGCACCCTTCCAGAGCAAGATAGCTGTGGGCAGGCGTTCAGTCTGTTTCCCGGACCCTATTTTCCTGATTCAGTGTGCACTTACTTCAGGATGGACTGGCTGGGCCCCATAGTCCAACAGGGCTGAGAAGAGGACCTCGGGCTCCCAATTTGGGGCATCCTGGACGGCTTGCAGCGCGCAGTCCATGGGTGTGTGTCCTGCTCCGTTGGGGACTCTCACGAGGGCCCCATGGCTCAGCAGTAGCTCAGCCAAAGCCCCACATCCATTGGCACAGGCGTTGTGTAGTGGAGTGTGGCGCTTGCGGCCAGCGGCCCGGGCATCAGCCCCAGCCTCCAAGAGCCTTCGAGCCACAGCCTCATGCTGCCCACCTGGGCCGGGGCCCTCGGCAGCCGCACACGCTGCATTCAGGGCCGTCTCGCCCTGGCTCGTGCGCAGGTCCACGTCAGCGCCGTGCGCCAGGTAGAGGACCACATGCTCCTCCAAGCCACGTGCTGCGGCCACATGCAGGGGCGTCACCTCATTCTCCTTTGCTGCCAGGTTCACCTTTGCTCCTGCCTCCAGCAGCAGCTTGGCACACCTGCAGATAGCAAGGCACGGGGTGGGGGCGGGGAAGCAAATCCTGAGGGTCTAAGGTCTGACTTGGGACCACCTCCCCCTTCGTTCTCGAGAAAGTTAGCGATCATTTCCCCTTGATTCTCACCCGCTGGCCTTAAAGTCCAGCCAGGTTCTAGCATTACAAATACAGAAGCCTATGACAAGCAGTGTCTGAAGCTCCTGGGAGGTAACTCCTTTGGGTTTCTTTTTTTTTTTTTTTTTCAAATATACCATTTTTTCTCCTTTGGGTTTCAAAGGAGAACTTCGAATCCTTACTTAAAGGTCTTAGTGCAGCCTGGAAGCAGCACTTTAGTGGCCGTGTCCACATTCGACCTTGCCGCTGCAGTGGGAGCCTAAGGCCTGCTTCTGAATAATTTCTAAGTGTATCTCCTAAAATTTTGAAAATGTAAGTGGCTATGAATCGTAGGCAACTCGACGGCATGTAACAACACTTTTGAAAACATATGTATGTACTTTACAAAAAAAACTGGAAGACAAATCCACCAGATGCTCTGCTAGAGAAGGAGGGACAATCGCTTCCTGTACCAGTCAGATGCGATTTCACAGTACACACACACACAAAATAATAAAAATTTTAAAAAATTAAAAAAAAAATTGGAAGGCTAAGAGCTAAATAGAGAAATTGATAGTAAAATTAAAAGAAACTTTTTTCCTGTTGGCAAAACTGGAAGACTGCTTTTTCCAACCAGACACACCCACTCAGGCAAGGGAATGCCTTTGGGGACCCACCTACTCCTGGTTCCAATAGAGAAAACAAAACAAAACAGACAAAAACAAACAAACAAAAAAAACAACAACCAATAACTATATAAAACACAGTCTGAGGGAAAGAGCATGGTTGTCTTGGGAAACAGTTATCGGTCCAAACACAAGTTGCTGCAAATATGCATCATTATACACTGCAGGGGTGAATCAAAGATGCAGCGAACTAAATTAATAATGAGGAAACTAAACTAACAGTAATTTATAATTAAAAAGCCAGAATAGTAGCTGCTGGAAACTAAGGAGCAGCTCCTTCGACCCGATGAAGCCTTGATAAGTGATTGTCCTTCCCGAGAGGACAGCGTGCCAGCGCTCCTGCACCACGCAGCTTCGTGGGCACTCTGCTGGCTGCACACAGGAAGCCAGCCTCCCATAAATGACTGAATTTATTGCTTTCGTGCATTCTAATCATGGACTAATTTTGGTTTCCACTTGCTAAATTTAATTAACACTCGAAAGCTCATTCGGTAGGGCTCTAGAAATTTTCTATGGAGTCTGTGGGAAGGTGCAGGCGTTTGCATGTAAGAACCCAGGAAGGGGCTGGAGTACTTCTAAGACCATCAGTAATGTAGCTTGGGGTGGGGGCGGGGGGAAGGAGGGGCGGGTGTCCAGAAGATGGGCTGCGTTGTGTCCTCCAGGAAACCTTGAGTTCTTTTTTTTTTTTTGAGAGTCTAGAGAGCATTATATTGAGTAAAAAACCTCAGTGTCATGAGGACAAATACTACATGATCATTATTGATTTTTTTTTTTTGGCTTTCCTTAATGGTTTTAATTGGAAACAGGGACACAGGAGAGCCAGGTGAAGGGGTCACTGTTTGGTTAGAGGGTGGTGGCCGATTCCAGACTGCGCTCCTGGAAGTATCGGTGAGGGAACCTTGAGTTCTTTCAACCTCCAGTCCTGTCTGTCTAGCCAGCCCTGTCTGCCTACCCCTGACCTAATTTGAAGGAGTATGAATACCACCAGAGAGACCAGGGTCTTTGTTAACTTTAGAAAATGGGAGAAGTATGGGGGTGTCTCACACTGAGGCTGGGAAACACAGGGCTAGACCAAGTCAGTTAGGAATTTGGCTTTTCACAGGGAATAGGGAATTGGAGTTACAACAGTTTTCCCCAAAGCAGCAAGGCTTCTCCCTCCAGGGCCTAGCAGATGTGTCCTTGGACAAGTCACTCAACTCTTTTTCTAGCCTGTTTCCTGCTCTGTAGAATAAGGCTTGCCTTTCTGGATATTCTGGAGACTGCAAAGTTGGATAAAAATGTCAAATTCTTCTTTTATCTGGTTGTCTAAGCTGGAAACACACATACACACACACCCACACACACATACCCCTTCCCAAACATCTCAAGCCCAGGTACCTACTGCAAAGATTCGGGGGCTATGCAGAGGTGCAGGGGAGCATTGCCCTCTTCAGATAGCACATTGGCCTTGGCACCGAAGGTCAGGAGCAGCTGCACACAGTCCACCTGGGCCTGGGCACAGGCCTCGTGCAAGGCGGCTCGACCCCCAATACGAGAGTCCAGCTCAGCCCCAAGCCGGATCAGATGGCGAGCACAGTCGGTGTAGCCTCGGCCTGCAGCAATGGTGAGAGGAGTTGTCTGCTTGGTCTTGGGGGTCATCACCCAGAACCCTGGAGAGAGGAGGCAGTGTCAAGACAGTGAGTAAGAGACCAGCAGGCAATTGAAACAGATGAGGGAGAAAACTGTTTAAAAGGAATATATGATTAGGTTTTATTTTCATGACAAGATTCCAGAAAAATAAATGCATCGTAAAGTGGACTGTGGACTTGGGGTTTGTATAACAATGAAAGAATTTTTTTTTCTTTCAAAGAGAAAAGTGAACTGGGGGGAAGGGGCAGGTAGGGAAGAAAATATGCAACCATGAATGAATGTAAAAAAATTAAATGGGAAGAATATGCTATAAAAATATGTTGCATTAAAATATTTTTTAAAAAAGAAGGAAAAAATTTAAAAAACACCTTTTAAAATATATTCTGACTAATAGTGATGCTACTAGTTGCTACTGAATAAGGATGACAGAAGAAGAATCTTTACCTTTGAATTGTGATTTTGGAGAACAGTAGTAAATATCCAGCCGACTGAGGAGGTGGAAACAGAGGGGTAAGGAGAGGCAGGGGAGTTAATTACAGGGTCATACAATTTGATAGGGGGAGTAAAGGAAATGGGAAAGATCTGGTGTGAAAAACAATGTATTCAAACTTTGTAAATAAACCAGTATTTTTTTTTTTCAGAGTCTCTGTTTTGTTTTGGTTTTTTTTCAGAGTCCCTGTTTTGTTTTGTTTTTTTTTAAAGAGAAAAAAAAAAAATGGGGGAAAAAAAAAAGAGAGACCAGCAGGCGGAGTGGGGAGTGGGATATTGTGGCTGAAGGCTAGGTTTCTCTCTGCAGTTTGCTGATCACAAACACTGCTCCCGACAGGCTGTTGTGTAGGAAAGGGCCCAGCAAGCCTGGCAGTGAAAGTGTAAACTCGAAGATCCTTTTAGAACAGCTTGGTAATCTGTAATCATAGTATGTGTGTCATAAGGGAAAAAAATTAATTGCTCTTTAGAATCACAAGAGCCAACTAAGAAGGCTGGATCCTGTGATCCTTAAGGGAACCTCAGGGTCCTTGGAGGTTTTTTTTGCTCACCTGAGCTTTCTGACTTTGGGTATGGAGGGGAGGTATGTTCTAGAAAGCCTGGGGTAGAGCCTGGGAGTCGCCAAGGAGCAGAGCTGGAAGAGTTCTGAAACCTGTGTTGGATTGGGGGTGAAGGGTGGGAAGTGGAAGTAGAGTAGGAAGAAGGTGGAGAAAAAGTAGGGAGAGAAGCTAATCCACCTATTAGTGTTGAACCAAATTGTAGAAATGGTCAGGACTTGTTTAAAGGGACACAGACACCTAATATTGAGATGTACCTTGCTGGCATTGTGGCAAAGTAAATCTGGCCATCCTAAATCTTGGGCAAAACTCAGTTTTGTTTCATCATGAGCTATGAAATTAAAGAATGAGAACATGTTTCATGTTGGGGGTGTTGGGCATGCTGCAGGATAAGGTCAAGATGCCGTGGGCAGGGTGAAAACCCAAACTGAACTCTTGCATCCTAGGAAGAATACAGAGCCTAAAGTGGCTATAAGAGTAGCCCAGGTGACACAGTAGTTACAGAACTCTGCTGCTAATCAAAAGGTCAGTGGTTCAAACCCACTAGCTGCTCTGAGGGGAAAAGATGAGGCAGTTTGCTCCTGTAAAGGATTTTAGTCTTAGAAACCCCATGGGCAGTTCTACTTGTAGAGTTGTGATTGACTTGATTGCAGAACATTTGGGGTTTTGAACTGTGAGAGTCCTTGGATGGTGTGAAAGGTTAATGTTCTCAGCTAACTAAAAGGTTAGAGTCCACCTAAAGGCACTTTAGGGAGCGCTGATGGCCTAGGGACAAGAAGCTGCGTTGCAAACCTGAAGGCACACAGTTCTAATCCACCAGCTGTTCTGTAAGATTAATTTGTGATTAACTACCTCTGAAAACTTGCTGGATGGTCAGCTATGGGTCAATTCCAACTCTACCATACACAATAACAGAGGCACTTTGGAAGAAATGTCTGGTGATCTACATCTGAAAAAGTAATCGCTGAAAGTTCAATGACGTTCAGGACAACTGGCTTGATTAGTTGGTGATTGTGGGAACATGAATTCTCCCAAGGACTTTGAGCCACAGAACCTATGGCTAGCGTTCAGGCAGTTTCTTAACAATCTTAGGAACAGGACTGCCTCAATTGAATGACATTATGTGGTTTACATGTAGAAATCTTCTTGTTTCCTAAGGAAACCATTTAGCAAGTACACAAAAATGTTCTCTCTAGTATGGGGGTTAGTGAGATAAATCAAGGCACATTTATGTGTTTGAATTTATGCACCTATTATTATGGGATTCTACTTACTGACATGGATAGATGTTACATTAAAAAAGCTGACTATAGGGAGCTCTGGTGGCCTAGTGGCAAGAAGCTGCACTGCAAACCCAGAGGTACGCAGTTCAAATTTACCAGCTAGAGAAGGAGAGGCAATCTCCTCCTGTACCAGTCAGATCCAATTTGATGGTACACAAATACACACAAATAATAAAATAAAGTAAAAAAGCTGGCTGTGAAACAGAAGGTGGAGTATCTCATTCTATAAAAGAAAAGTATCCATGTGTGGATACATATACACAGAGAAAAACTGTTAAAATATAACAGTGTTACTCTTGATAGCATGTGATTACTATATTTATAGTCGGAGAAACAATTTCCATTCTTAAAAGACACAGAAACCATTAGCTATTTTGGAGACAATGGCAAGGGTGCTGGGCAGGACGGTTAGTCTGTCCATCATCTGGAGGAGGGATGTCGCCTATATTACCCCCTCCTATTCTCTCTGTCCCCCTCCTCTTCTACCCCCACCTGGTGCTCCCTACCCTGTTCTGCTGACCAGGCCAGCTGGTTGCTCACAGTCTCCACAATCATGTTGGCAGCCTCTTCATCTTGGAATAGGACTTGGACCTGCAGCAGGTCTCCAGAGAACAGGGCGTTGTGGACAGCTGGGTCACGGCAGGAGCGGCGAGGCCTAGTGAGCAGGGCCCGGGGACTGGGGGGGCACCTGCGGCTCCGGCATTGCTGGACAATGGCCCGACGCCGGTCCTCCCACTCCAGCCACTCTCGCTGTAGGCGGAGGGACCGCAGTGTGGAGGAGGTGAAGGGGAAGGTCTCCCTTGCCATGGATAAGGGTACAGGGGGCTGGGTAGGGACACCTGGGAAAATCCAGGTTCCCTAGGCCCAGCTACCAACCTTGCTCTGAGAAGCCACCCTGCCCCCTCATCGGTGAGCCAGAGAGAGGAGCAGCTGGGGCTATAAATAGGCGCCTCTGCTGCGCTGGTAAACAGTTTGTCATGATCTTGAGACAGGGATGGTGCTAGGTTAATGCCAATCCCCCAGCTCAGGGCTAGGACCAATCTGTTTCTGCTGATACCCTCAAATTGGGCACAGGTCCTCAGCTGAGGCCACCTCTGGACTCGAGTCTCCAACATCCCACTTCTGTAGGGGCATCATCTCTTAGTTGTCTGGGAATATAGAACAGTCAACTGGGGAGATAGCAGGCCAGGGAGGAAGAGCCAAGGTCTGAGGGATGAAGGCAGACCTCAGTCCAGGAAATAAGAGAAGGGGAGAAGAATCTCTCTAGGTGCCCATAGCAATGTTTACAAGAACGTGACAATATTCAAACAGGTCCAGGTTCAGCTTCCCTGAGGTGAGCATACTGCTTGGCTTGCCTAGGAAAAGAATAAATTTTATTTGGACAGTAAATTATGTGGGATAAGCAGGTTATGCCTCACAAGTCAACATCTCCGAGATGGGCTCGAGATCACATAGCTTGTGAGGGGCAGAGCCAGAATGAGGACCCTAGCTGTCCTGACACCATAGGACTCCCAACTTCTGTGGCCATGTGATGGTAAAGGCCTTGGAAAGATCCGGCCCCTCACCCCCATATTGGACAGCAAGCTCTCTAAAAAGTGACCTCTCATTTTTTTTTTTTTTTATGTGTGTACCGTCAAATTGGATCTGACTGGTACAGGAGGCGATTGTTCCTCCTTCTTCAGCAGAGCATCTGGTGGATTTGAACCGCGCACCTCTGGGATTGCAGTGCAGTTTCCTGCCACTAGGCCACCAGAGCTCACCTCATTCTTCTTTTTAAACTCCTTTTTTCTTCTTTTAAGAAAGGTCAAGGGATTGATTTCATGACTGGAGGCTTATGACCAAAGGGGACTTGTCACATACTCATCCTTAGGACAAAGTGCCTGTGCTTCCAGGAGCCTCTAGGGGGAGGAATGCGGCCGTGAAATAGCATCTGGCTGAAGCCTGAGAACAACAGCCTGTGTCTCTGCCAAGTTGGGGGAAGGCAGGCAGGCCAGCCTTTCTAACAGAAGTTCTCCTCACCAAGGAGATCAGTGTGTCCGGCGGCCAGCTCCTCCCAAGCCCGGTTCTCTTCTTGTTCACTTAGAGTCTGCTAAACCCCAGCCTATCTGGCCAAAGTCCCGTTTCATTTGTCCCCATCGCAATTCACTCCCTCTGCTCCTTGGTTTCCTCTCCCTCAAGTCTTGTGTCCCCTCACACACACAAGTCCTAGCTCCTACTGTCTCGACTTGACTGCCACTGGAAGTTCAGGACCTCGAAGTACCTAACGAACCCAGCCTTCCACATGGTGTTTCTTCGTGGGGCTTTTCTCTTCTCGGCTGCCCTGTTACAATGATCTAAAATGAGTCAGTTCCCTGCTTGGAGATGGCTACTGACCTCCACCTCCCCTCTCCAGGTAGGCCCCAGTCCCTCTGTTGAACATTCTCGCTACAGCTCCTCCCATTCCTTCTCAGGGCCCTTTCCTGTACTTGTAATTGCATTCTGCCTATTCCTCAAAATCCATCTCAAAGGTCAACAGCTCTGTTGAGATATCTCTAAAGCAACCCTGCCCACATGCCTCTAGCCACTCCCAAATCCCTGCTCCCAAAGGTCTTCCTGGGAGCTTGAGTGCTTCAGAGCAGGACCTGAAGGTATTTGGTTTTATTTCTGGCCTGGCACCTAGTAAGTCAGGATGCAGTATTTAAAAGTGCTTGACTCATAGTAGTCCACCTCCCTATGTGTAATACACTGAATGAATGCTTCTCTTCTTTGCCAGAACAACCCATCTATCTGCCCAAGGGGGTGGCAGGAGCCTGGACTTTTTCTAGCAGTGCCCTCCCACTCTGCCAAGCCCTAGACTACTGATGGTATTTCAGGGTGGGGGATCACACAAGAAGAATGAGGTCATGTCCAGTGATGACTAGATTATTATGGATTGAGTCCCCTGAAAATATGAGATGTAAATCATAATCTCTCTTGGCTTATGGTTTTAACACTATTTGTGAATGATTTGTCCTTGTTATGCTAATGGACAGGATTTCTGTCCCTGCTGCAATTCACTCCCTCCTCACAGGGTATACTTTTAATCAATATCTAAAAAAGATTAAATACAAAACAACACCTCATCCCAGTAAGAATAGCAAAATTTAACAGAACAGCAAACAATAAATGCTGGTGATGTTGTGGACAAACTAGAACCCTTATTCACTGTTGGTGGGAGTGTAAAATGGTGCAACCACTATGGAAGGCTGTATGGTGCTTTCTCAAAAAGTTGCAACTAGAAATACCATTTGACTCAGCAATTCTACTACTGGGAATATAGCCCAAAGAAACCATAACCAGCACCCAGGCAGATATATGCACACCCATGTTTATCATGGCTTTGTTCACATTAGCAATAAGTTGGAAACAACCTAAGTGCCCATCAACAAACAAATGGGTAGAGAAGCTCTGGTATATTCACACAATGGAATACTATGCTGCACTGAAAAACAAGGAACTCATGAAATATTATACAAAATGGGTGACCCTGGAGGACATTATGCTGAAATATCTCAGTCACAAAAGGACAAATACTGCATAGTGTCACTGTTGTAAAACGAGACTGACATAGGGATTGAGGGGGAGGCTGAGAAAAACTGGATAAATTATGTATACTGCATTGAAACAGATGAGGGAGAGAACTGCTTAAAAGGGATATCTGATTAGGTATTATTGTCATGACAGGAGTCCAGAATGAAGACTGCATGCATAGTGGAGTGGACTTGAGGGGAAGGATTGTATAACAATGAAAGAATTTTTCTTTTACTTTTCAAGGAGAAGAACTAACTGGGGTTGGGGGAGGTTGGGCAGGGAGAAAAGTGCAACAATGAATGAATGGAAATCCAAAGCCTCTGTAAGCTTTCATTAAATTCAATTTAAAAAAAGAAAAGCTTAAATAAAAATAAACAATCTCTAAAAGAGAATAAATAAACAAGGCAGGAAGAGCAAGCAGAGATCAGGGAAGAGGCCACATGAAGACTCCCTTAAAAGCAGAAGCTTAGGAAACAGGACCTTCTCCAGAGCCTGCAGAGAAAGCCGCTCCTTAGACCCAACACCTTCAATGAGGGCCCCTAGCCTCCTAAACAGAGAGAAAACAAACTTCTGTTTGCTAAAGCCGCCCACTTGTGGTATCTCTGCTATAGCAGCACTGGATTTCTAACACAGAGCTCCTCAGAGAATGGCGCCTCTATAAATGCAGCTGTGATTAACTCTTTTGGAAGCCACTTGGCGTTTTAATTGCCCCACCAACAGCCCGGCTGTGCACCCACAGCCGAGTTCCCAGGGTTAGGAGCCTGGCAAGGCAGGCAGAGTGTCCTCTCCCTCCCTGAGGCGCACAGTAGTCCTGGCACCTGGGCTCACGGCTATGCGGGTCTCCCTAGCATCTCTCACCTTACTACACAGGCTTGAAGGTGTTTACGACTGCTCCTGTGCCCTCATCCTTCACATTAGCTTCTTAAAGGCTGTAAAAGGCTTTTCTTGTTATGGGCCTGTGGGTAGTCCAGAAACTCTACTAGAGGGAACAGTGCCCCATGATTTGCTATCCAGCCTGTCCCCTGGGAGCTCAGAGCCTGTGGGAAGAAATATGACAGAAGGAAGCAAGGTATGAAGCAGTTGGGTCAAGACAGTGAACAATGGAGATCAGGCCTCAGGGAACCGACGGGGTGAAAGGCTGAGGCAGAGGAGGCTGGCAGTCAAACTGCAGTCTTTAGACCACCTGCTCCTTAAAGGCAAGGATGGTGACACTTTGTCTCACACACTCTGAGTATATTGTCAGGAGGGGACAGTCCTTACAAAGACATCATGCTCAGAAAAGTCAAGTCAGTGAAAAAGAGGAAGATGCTCAAGGAGATGGATCAATAAAGTGACTTTAACAATGGGCTTGCTTAAGAATGGCAGAGATTGTGAGGTTGGTGTAGGTCAGGGCAAAGTTTCAATGAGTTGCCAAGTGTTGTCAACTTGATAGCATGTAACAACTCATGAGTTGGGAGTTTCCTGTGCTGTTCTTTATTCCACAGCATGCAAACAAGATTGACAACTCGGTATAATTAGACCTATTATGTTCCACCCATGTCTCTTGTCCAGTTGAGGTTTCAAAGTGGTACAGAACCTCCAGTGATGCAAAGCTGTTTGATAACAGAATAACCTAAGGTATAACATACATATCCGTAAGTCCATGACGGTATAGACAAGTGATCAAATAATTATAGGAGGGAGAACAGGCAGATCTATGAAGCAGAAAACTTCTAAATTGCTTTCATAGATTTCATCCCTAAGGAGGTGGAACGTTAAGTCTCTGTTCCTTCCATGTGGGATGCTCATAGCACTTCCTCTCTAAAAGGGGCAATGAGTAATTCTCCAGTGGAGAACTTGACAAATACCTAGCCAGTAATCAAGGTCAGTTATCAAAAATGCTGTCATACTGATAGGATATAGAATTGGGATGATGGGGTGAAAATGGCACTTCTATGGTCTTTCCCCCTAAAATCCATTAACTGTGAGTTGTGATGTACCTTAGAGTAACCAAGTCCATACTTTCCAACTATCCTTTCTTCTTCATTGTTTCCAACTTTAGCATTCCAATCACTAATTCATCCTCCCCCTTTGGCTTTAGCTGTTGGTGCATATATTTGAGTAGTTGTATTAACAGGTCTTCCTTGTAGGTGTATGGATAATATCTTATTACAACATTGTACTTAAGGATAAAACCTGAGATTTCTTTTTAACTATGAATACACCATCATTTTTAGTCGTTTTAATTCCTGGCATAGTATATCACATCACTATCTGATTCAAAGTGGCCAAAGCTAGGCCTCCTCATCTCACTAGTGCCTACAGTGTCAATGTTAATACATTCCATTTCATTTTTCACTTTCCCCCCAACATTCATACCCTGTACATTCCATGTTTCAACTATTAAAGGATATTTACAGCTGTTTCTCCTCATTTTGAATGGCTGCCAATCTGGGCTCTACTTCAGTATCTATTCATGCTCATCTAGTGTTTTCACATAAGGCTCTTAGAGGCAGATGGCCAATCTTTCTTTCTAGTCTGTCTTAATCCAGGAGCTCCAGGAATACCTGTCCACCATGGGTTTTCTTTCTGGCATTTGATACACCAGTAGCACAGCTTTCAGCATCTTAGCAACCCACAAGTACAGCAAACTGACAGACAATTGCTGTATTAATTAAAGGAAGAGAATAATACATTTTTTCCCCTTGTGTGGTGTGCCGTCCAGTCAGATCTGACTGGCACAGGAAACTTCCCATCATTCTCCAGTGGAACATCTGGTGGATTTGAACACCACCTTTGGGATTGTAGCACAGCTTCTTGCCACTAGGCCACCAGAGCTCCCTGCTATATTAATGATAAACAAGCAAGAATACAGATTTCCAAGGTAAAAAGCCATTAGCAATATGTAGATCAATTTCCCCAATACAAAACAAAAAACCTCCAAAAACCCACCAGGTAAGTCTCGTAGTTTAGGAGGCTCCATGTCTTGAGTCCCAGGTACCACCTTTAAGGGAAGGCTCGCTCTCTAGTGGTTCTGGAGGAAGGTCCCGTCTCTGAGCGTCTGTTCCAGAAGCACATTCCTGGTGCTGCTGGCATAACAATAGGATAATGTCCCAAGTGAGGGCTGTCTCAGCTCGATCCTGTACACTAGAGCGCCACACTTGGCTTGAGGCTGCAGGCCTGAAGTGGTGGCAGGGTGTAAAACAGTTTTTTCTGTTGCTGCTCCTTTTTTAGGGGGTGCCTTATTGAAACCATGATCTTTTCAGCCACTTGCTATACAGCTGAGAGCTGGACAATGACTCCAAGGAGGATAGAATTGATGCCTCTGAACTATGGTGTTGGAGAAGAGTATTGAATATTCCATGGACTGCCAAAAGAACAAACAGATGTTTCTTTGAGAAGGTGTAGCCAGGGTGCTTCCTGGAGGCAAAGGTGAAGCTTCATCTCACATTCTTTGGTCATGTTACTAGAAGAGACTATTCCTTGGAGAGGGACATCATGCTTGGAAGGTGGAGGACAATGGAGAGGAAAACCCTTGACCAGGTGGATTGACACAGTGACTGCAACAATAGACCTGAGAGTGTCAGAGATTGTGAGAATGGCACAGGGTAGGACAGGGTTCCGATCTGCTGTTAACAGGGTCACTAGGAGTTGTACTCGACTTGATGGCACCTAAAGACCACCACACCTTCTGGTTGGACCTGAGTCACAGCTGACCTTTCGGCAGGTTTTCAGAGGGAGTAAATCACATGAGATTTCTCATCTTTCCTCTACTGAACTGGCAGAGTTGAACCATGTGCCTTTAGGTTGGCCACACAACTCTTTACCACTAAGCTACCAGAGCTCCTCATTCTATGACAAAAAGTACAGTAGAGATCCTACAACAGGCCTGCCCAATCGTCAGTCAAGGTCACCCAAAAGGAGGAGTCTCACAAACTGCTATAGGCAAGAAGAGTCCAAAGAGACAAGGCCAAAAGCATGTGCTGTCTTGGCAGGGGTCCTGGGACAGAGAGACATTGGGAAACCACTGGGAAATAGCATGTGGACTTTGGTTAATAATGATGTAGCAGTTGCTACTGTTGTGTGCCTTCAAGTTGGAAATGACCCTCCAGTGGCTTTTCAAAGGCAGTTAACTGCAATAGAGAAGACTGCCCATCTTTCTCCCATGGAGCAGCGGGTAGATCAAACCACATGCCTTTAGGACCGCAGTGCAGCTTCTTCCCACTAGACCACCAAAGCTCCCTGAAGTCACAGTAGTGGTCCATTAATTGTGACAAATGGATTAGATAATTATAGTTGTAGCATCTTACAAGATGCTAATGTATAGAAAGTTGGATGTGGGGTACTAGCATCTCAATTCCTCTGTAAATATAAACCTGCCCAAAAAGAAAATGTTTATTCAAAGAAAAGAAAAAGAATTGCTTGTCTACTTAGTCCAAGCTTGGCTGGCAAGGTCCACAGGACATCCAAGACAGGCAAGAGCAGGAAGGAAGGAGGCAGGTGAGGCAGGGCTACTTTATTCCAGAACAAGGTACAACAGCCCACACATGCGACCCTGCACCGGGAGCCCTGGGCACAGATGATCTGGGCAGCTACTGGCCGCAGGAGCCCAGGAAAGCAGAAGCCAATCCAGGTGTGTCTCTTCCTGCTCCAGAGGGGCAGGTGGCCTCTTGGGAGGCTTCTCTCAGCTCCTCAGGGACTAAAGAGTGAAGAGATGAGGACATGTGACTCTGTGTCCTCTAATGTCAGCCTGAGGCAGGGAAAGTGACCCTGGAAGTGACACACCTTCATTATTAGCAGAAGAGTTCATGCACAAAGGGCTGGAGGACTGGAAAAAGCCAGCCATGGACCAAGTTCTGCAATGTCAAAGGAAGACCCAAAGTGACGCAGTGCGGAATCCCAGCGAGGGTATTAGGGAAAACAGGCAGTGTGGGAGCAACCACAGGAGCCCCGCTCTCTGCGCGTTTTCCCTTGTGCTCATTGTCTTCTTCCCCTGGAACGGGATCAGGTATGGGAGGGTGCTGAGAGGCTGCCTTCTCAGAGCGGGTGTCCTGCTTTGGGGCAGTTCCAGCTACTGGTCCCAGAGAAGAAGTCCTCCGGCAGCTCACTCAGGAGTCCATCCAGGTCATCTGCAGAGTAGGAGGGGGTGGGCGTGTGTTAGTACCAACATTAGGATTTCACAGGATTCTGGACCCAAACTCCTGCCCCCAGGAGCTGGCGAGGTGGTACCCTTGGGCAGAGGGGCCTGTGCCATCAAGTCTGAAGCTGACCTGTTCAGTCTCCCCTCGGTTCCCCACATACCTACACACGACAAAGCAAGCAATCCCACCACCATCAATTCTGACTCACAGTGACCCTGGAGGACAGAGGACAGCTGCCCATCAGGATTCTGAGGCTGCAAATCTTCAAGAACAAGCTGCCTGATCTTTCCCGTGGAGTGGAGCTGGTGAGTTTTAAATACTCACCTTCTGGTCAAGTGCCAAATTCTTTATGCACTACACCACCAGGGAGCTCTGGCGGCTTGGTGGTAAGGAGCCACACTGCCAAGTCAAAGGCATCAGGCTTGAACCCACCAGTTGCTCAGAGAATCGGGATGGGCAATCGCTTCCCATGCAATTTACTGCCTCTGAAAACCCACTGTAAGGTCAGGTACAGGTCAGGTCTGACTTGATGGATTCTTCCACACAACAGAAGAAGCATCGCCCAGGGCCATTCTCCTAACTGTTCTTCGGTTTCTCTATTTCCAATCAGTGCCTGAGCAGGAAGGGTCTCTGGGCATAATAGCCTTCTCATTTGACAAAAGGAGTAACAAGGCCAAGAAAAGCTATTAGATGTGTTCAGAATTGGTTATTAATCTGGTTCTCATCTGAAGAGTGAGAGACAACACCCCGTTCCCCAAAGTGCCAGCCAGGGCATAAGAAATGAGAGTAACTATTCTTGACTGCAGTTTTCAAATAGGGCACGTACGTTCAAAAACTTGGAAGTTCTCCGTAATCCTTCTTGGTATTATTATTGCTAACAATAGCAGCTAACATTTACTGTACAATTGCTCTGAGTAGGCACACAGCCAAGCACATTAAACTCAGCATTTATTGCTAAATCTCTTACCATGAAATCTTACAATAACTCTTCATAGGACACCTCATGGTAGCTTTGTTATAGCCAGCTTACCTGAGAGAAAAGAGCTCAAAGAGGCAAAACCATTTGTCGAGGTGAGTACACGTGGGCTCCACCTGCCTTTTAGAACCACTGTTTTTAACTACAAAACACCTTCTTAATGAATGGCATCAGGAAGCCACAGGAGGAAATCACAGCAGCAGTCTGCTTGTTTGGCAGGCCTGTCGCCGGCAGTGGCGATGTGACGGCAGCCAGGCCATTCTACAGCTAATGATCACCACGGGCAACCTTCTGAAGATGCTGTGGCTTGTTATCAAGCTTACTTACAGGGAGCATGTCAAATCGCAGACGATGCAAGATTCTAGCATAAGGGGCATGTAGTTTTTCACAATAAATGAATGGATGGGCTTTGGGGATTATTCAGTGTTCTACTGTGAATCTGGTTAGTAAGGGATTCTACGAACTTTAGGGCCACACATGGTTGAATTTCTAGAACTGAAAAGCTGAGGACCTGATCCTTATCTATCTTAGCGTCATCTGCTACCTGAGGAATCAGCTGGACTATCCCCAAGAGGCCTAGTCTGGTCTACTCCCTAAAAAAGTGCTTCTGGACTTCATCAGGCCAGGAAAGTCCGCCTCTAAGATCCGGCCCTCAGCCCACAGAAGACTCTGAGTAAGGAATAAGGAGAGTGCTCATCTCTCTGGAAGCTAAAAACACATGATCTGGAAATTGGGGTGACCTATGGAACTCTGTTAGCACATTATGTGCTGGGGATGCTAACAGAAAGGTCAGCAGTTCAAATCTACTAGCTACTCTTTGGGGAAAAAAGATGAGAGAAATCGTCCTCTCATTAAGATTTACTGCCTGGGAAACTGAGTTGAGGGTCGCCATGAGTCCCAGTCAGTTCGATGGCAGTGCGTTGGGTTTCGGTACGGCTCACACTCGTATTTGCTTTGTGGAGCCTCTGTCACATTATAGGGTTGCAGTGAGTTGAACAGGCGTTGACGGTAACAGTTATTTATCACTTTGTTCACTAATCTGTGGCCTGCAGTCCTGCCAATAAGACACATTTGATTTCTATAAGACTCAAAAACTAACAGCAAGAAAAACAGGATGACAGGCAGGAAGATTCAGGCTGAACTGTTCAAGAAGGACTAAAAAGGACTACGAGAGCTCGGGGCCTAGAAGGTAAGGAGCTGCACGGCCAACCCAGAGCAAGGGTTTCAAATCCACCAGTGCCTCTGAGGAAGAAAGACGGCAACCTCTTTTGTGTGATAAATAGACTCTGAAAGCCAGTTGGAGGGTCAGCTATTAGTCGGTTCCATGTCCGTGGTAATGACCTAGTGAATGATTCTGAGCTTAGAAGTACTAAAGTGGTAGCCAGCTACCACCACTGACCTCTCTGACCAGGGCCAGAACAGATGAGCCCAAACAGAATGGGAGAAAAATGTAGAATAAAACTCAGATTTTTAAGAAAAGTCCAGATAAACTGAGAAGACTTCTTCAAACTATTGCCTTAAATTTTGAACCAAAAACTAGCCCAGGTCTCACATTAGCAGAACCAAAGTGACATACAAAATAAAAATTATTACCTAAGGGGGCAGGGAAACTAGAGTACTGGAAACAGAATAACCAGAACACAATGAAAGAGAACACTGACACACTGACAAATTCATCAATCGTACGGAAACTGTCAAATGGGAACGGAACTTTTTTAAACTTTCATAAAAAATAATATAATGTATTATTTTCATGAAAAACACCACAAACTCTGCCAAGGAGTTGGAACCAACTCACAGCTGACCTTCCAGTGAGTTTTCGGAGGCTGTAAATCGCACTGCAGGAGAGACTTCCCATCCTTCTCTCATGGAGTAGCTGGTGGATTTGAACTGCTTGCCTTCGGGTAAGCAGTTCAACTCCATCCCACTAAGCTGCCAGAACTCCTTATTTTTAGGTGAAGAGTTCAGAAGAACTACAAGGAAAGCCTCTCTTGCTCCTGGATGATGTGCCCATCCTACCTGCTTCTGAAAGCTCTTCCTCAGGTGGCTCGCTGGCCTCTGGGTTCTGTGCTGTTCTCAGGTCTTCATTGGACTTGCCATCGAAAGCACGCTGCAGGTTGCCATGGAAACTTCCCAGCTCCTAAGGGCAGAGGATCTGGTTACCAATGACTATGCTTCTGAAATCGCACTCGACAGGACCCCCCTCCACCTAGACCACCTCAGAGGAACCAGAAAGACACAGCTAATGAGTGTGGCCAGGGCTGGTCAGCTGTCAGGGCTCTGCTGAGTAGACGGATCTGAAACACTAAACACTCAAAACAGTAGTTAATTTTAAAAAACAAACCGTTTTAGCTGATTTTCTGTCCTAATTCTCTTGGTATCTGTTTCAAGCAATTCAGTAACTAAAGCAGAATGAAGAGGTCATTTAAAAATGTGTTCAGTTAGCTTCATAAAAACCTTACTGCCGTCAAGTCAGAAATGACATACAACTGACCTTCAAGTGAGTTTTCAGTGGTTGTCAATTGCATGGGAGAAGACTGACAATCTTTCTCCTGTGGAATAGCTGGTGGATTCAAACCAACTCTGCCGCTGGGTTGACAGCACAACTCCTTACCCTCTAGGCCACCAGAGCACCCTTTCAGTTAGCCTGGAATTAAAAATTATCTGCCAACAACCCCAAGATAGGTACCATATTTGCAGGTAATCAGGATTGATCATTAAACTGTTAATCATGGTTAGCACTAGAGGATAGGAGTGAATGTGTATAATTTTTCTGTTAATTCTGTGCTATTTTAGCTTTGTTCAATAAGTACCAATGACTTAAAATTTATGTAGACTGTTTTTCAGAAGTCGAGGAGGTCATAAATTTTTGATAGTCTGTAGAAGAGGAAGGGGGAAAGGTTTGGGAATGAGAGTAGAGTCTGACTGGCTCACAGAGGTTCCAAGTCTAACCCACTCTTTCAGATGAAGCAATAGCAGGGGTAGAGACCAGGCTTGCCCAAGGTCACGTTACAAATTACCAGCACAGCTGTGTAAGAACCAGGTCCTGGGCCCCAGGGCATACCGTGGCAACAGGCCAGAATCCCAGAAAGGGCAATGGTGGCCTCAGAGGTGACGTGGTGTGCTGACCCACACGCAGGCCCTGCACTCTCACCCCAGCTGGAACCTTTATTAATCTCGCCCAAGATCCCAAATACTCTCACCTCAGCTCCTAAGTTATCTGTGGGTGCCTGTCACCTAGACAATGCAGAGTCAGGAGAGAGGGTGCAGAGCAGGTGCCAGTTCACCTGTAGGCGATGTGGAGTTCACTGCTCTCTGTCACCACCCCCTGAGGTAGAGCTGACCTTCATACATGTCCCATCCTCACCCACTAGTGGACCTTCAACTTGGTTAATTCTCAAGAGCCTCTTCAGCTGCTGAAGTCTCCCACTGGACAGAGCCCACCAAGAAGGCAGGTGCTCCTCTGGGGACTCTCCTATTATACTGTCTGGTAGGTGGCTGGAGGAAGGACAGAAGGAAATGGCCCTGTCCTCAGAAGTGGCTTCCTCACTTCCGGACAACTACCTCTCTTACTCGTCTGCTCCCGAAGGTAGAGCAGGGAAAGAAATCAGAAGATCCAGAAGGGAAGAGGCTCCCATCAGTCCCCACCTCATCCTGCCCCTCTTACCTGGGGGAGGGGCTCAGATGACTTGAGGAAGTTTCCGTCCCCAGAATCTGGGCTGTAAATATGGACCAGGTTGTTGGGTGTCACGTTGAGGTAGTGGTTACGGAGGGAAGGAGAAAACACCCCAATCTGGAGTAGAAGAGGGGGAGAGTTGGTGTCCTGAGAGCGCACAAGGTGCTGCCAGAGGGCAACCTGGCCCCCACATGCCTCTCCCTTGGTGTCCTCTGTATAAAAACCCAAGCCTTCACTCAGCTTCAAGTCCCAGCAGCAGCCTATCCACTCACTGCCTAGTCTCAGGAAGGCAGCCCTCCAGATGGGTACAAGCAGAGACACCTCAGGGAGCTCTGGTGGCCTAGTGGCAAGAAGCTGCTCTGCAATCCCAGAGGTATGCGGTTTGAATCCACCAGATGCTCTGCTGGAGAAGGAGGGGCAATTTTCTCCTGTACCAGTCAGATTGGATTTGATGGTACACACACAAAATAATAAAATTCAAAAATAAATAAATAAAGAAAAACAAGTAGAGACACCTCAAGGGCTCTTCCCGGGTAAGGATGGCACAGATTCCCCCCGAGGGCTCCCTACCTGCTTCAGCAGCAGCACTGAGCCCGGCTTCAGCTCATTCTGGCGTGTCTCCAGCAGCACCCTGTGTATTGTTCCCTGCATCTCCCCTGCAAACACCACAGGGGCCCATCAGCCTTGGGTTCCGCAGAGGGGCTGGTCTGCAGCCTAACTGAGGAGTGGGTCACTTTACTGCCTCCATCTGTCCAGCTACAAATGCAGAGGTTGACACCTCCGCACCCAATTCCCACACAGGGCACCTGTCAGATACCTCCAGACCCTAATGCCTTACCTGTGGGGTCCTTGAAAACCACACTGGCGTCCATCGTGCTCCGGGTCAGGGACTTAATCATCACTGCCATCTTGGGGACCTTGTTCCTGGGCAGCTGCTTTAGGGCGGCCTGTTTACGAGGAGAGGCATGTACTGGGTCCCTTGTGGCTTCCTAGGTCTCCCAGGGTACAACAAACCAGAGGGTGGTGGGCGGGGAGGGAACAGAATAAAAAGAGGCAGCCCTACGAGAGGAGTTTACAGGGATCAATCATCTCACTGCCCTCTGGGTCCCTCCCTCTCAATTGTTTTGTGTATATGCATTTATACAGCACGTCATCAGGCCATGGGCAGCTCGAAAGGCACCAGTGTGCTTACCTAAACCTACTTAGGGGCCAGGAAAGGACAGAGAAGTGCCCAACCCCACCCTCACCTGCCCATGGACAACACTGGGAATGGCAGTGAGAGGCAGGGAAGTGAAGCTGTAACCAGAGACAGGCCTGGAGTAAGAGGGAGAAAACACAGTGCTCCTCACAGAAGGTGGACCTCTTGCTCAGAGAAAAGGAGAGAAAGGGAGAGAAACGGTACTGGCTTGGCTCTTGGCACCCAGGATCCTTACCTTCCGCAGCACCATGATGATGCTATAGGTGCAGAGGAAGCATGAGGGGTCTCTCTCATCCAGGCCCAGAGAAGACTTCATGGTCAGCCAGGGCCCTCGCCCAAAATCATCCTCTAATGACGTCTGGGAACTAGCAACAACCTGGCAGCACAGAACAGAAGGGGAGCCTGCGTTAAGGGGTCTATCCTGCTGAAGACCGTCCTTTGAGTGAAGAGAGGACCATGCGCTGAGAGAGGAGGGGGGTGTGCCCTGAGGAAAAACTGGACAGCGCTAGAGCCACAATCTCTCCTCTCATCTTCAAGCTCAGAAAATGGTACATGAAACCCTGCTGCCTATCACTTCTCCCACTAAGCAGCTAGAGCTAGAAGGAAGGTTATCCTTTAAAAAAAAAGAAAAATCAGGTCTTAATTAATACCATCAAAGCAAAAGACTTCATGTTTGTCTCTCATAAAAGACTTGAAAAGTTGTAGGAGCAGGGAGCCCCAAGTATGCTGATGACAGCTCATCGAATGTCTTAGTCACTTTGAAGCCAGTCATGGGTTTATTTGCGATGCCTCTGGCTCTAAACATTAACTTTCTTACTTCACTAAATGCATGCTTTGAATCCAGGTGGATATTTTCTGCTTTGGGTCTACAAGGAGTATCAGGATCTAGGGTGCCGGAGTAAATAAAAAACCCAAAACTGAGTCGGAGGACAGGGGAGGCCAGCCAGTAAGCCAGGGAGGAAGGAGGCTGAGTCCTTCTCGGTTCAGTTCCCAGAAACCTGAGCTGAGTTGAGATATAATCTCAAGACACTCTTCTCTTCTGGGAGAATATGGAGTTAGCTAGACCATGATTTTTTTTATGCAGCAAAGAAGGCTGGACTCATGGAATTCATGAACGTGTGGCTGGCATCACTCAAGGCCAGTAAAGCCACCCCCTCCCCTAAAGGCCTTCAGCAAATGTCCTCTGGCGTGTGAGAGCAGAGAACAGGCATCAACTCTGCTTCTCAACCCCTGAAACATGCAGAGATGCACCTTAGGCTCAAAGGCTGCCCAGCAAGTTAACATTCACATGATATGTTACCTCTGTCCGCAACTTAGCCAGAGCACCGTGGGCTGGAGTCTGGGGCGTGGAAACCATGATCTCTTCCAGATTTTTCCCACTGTGCTAAGAGGGGAGAGAGGAGGAAAAGGTGAGAGCAAACTCAGCAGCTGTTATTTACAAGTAGAGCATCTTGTCTGGGTTACATAATGAGTTCAGGAAACTATCAGGGACAATTAACACATATTACATCTCTCCTAACGATGTCTCAGGAGCCTCGTCAGCAGCTCAAAAAAGATGCTTTGGGGATCATTTTGGGACTGTGAGGAGGCAGGAGCCGGCCCAAGAGCAAAACTCGGGGCCTCCTGAAGGGGGCAAAGATCTGAACAAAGCCTGTGCTGAGCCAAGGGGAGGTTTCCCCAAGTCCCTTCTGGGGCTCTACCCGTTCCCTACAGGGAGTTCCAGCCCAGGAGAGATATATCTGGTCTCCTTGGATTCTCTTAAAACACTAGAGAAAAGCAATCAACATCCTTAAAAGGAGGAGGACAGGGACGTGCCTGTCCCAACAAGCCCACATCCTTTGTACTGCCAACCCAAAGGCAGGCAGTTCGAATTCACCAGCTTCTCCTTGGGGGAAGACGGGCAATCTCTTCTTTTCCAGTTTACAGCCTCTGAAGCTACAAGGTCAGCTATGAGTCGATTCTGACTCAATGGTAATGAGTTAGTGATCCCCAAAGTAAGGAACTCTGATGATGCAGCTGTTAACTAAAAGGTCAGCAAGTTAAACCAACCAGCCACTCTGCAGGTGAAAAAACATGGCAGTGTGCTTCTGTCAAGATTTGCTGTTAGGTGCCATTGGAGTACGACTCACTGCAACCCTATGGACAAGATCTGACCCCTGTGCTACCCTGTGCTGTCCTCACCTCTCTGACACACTTGAGCCCACTGCTGCAGTCATTTTGTCAATTCACCTCATTAAGGGTTTTCCCCTCTTTCACTGACCCTCCCCACCTTTCCAAGACGTCCCTTTCCAAAAAATAGCCTCCCCTAGAAATATACCCAAAGTACGTGATATAACCTCTTCCATCTTTGCTTCCAAAGAGCACTTTCGTTGCACTTTTCCCAGACATATCTGTTTATTCTTTTGATAGTTGGTAGACCGTGGGATATTCAGTACTCTTCTCCATCACCACAATTCAAAGGCATCCATTCTGCTTCTGTTATCCTTATTAACTGTCCAGCTCTCAGCGCATAGCAAGTGATTGAAAAGACCATGGCTTGAATCAGGTGCACCTTAGTCTTCAAACCAACATCGCTGCTCTTCAGGACTCTGGAAAGGTCCCTGACAGCAGATTTACCCAATGCTCTACATCTCCCGACTGCTGGTACCAAGGATGTTGACTGTGAATCCAAGTAAGGTGAAATCATTGACAATCTCAACCTTTTCTCTGTCTATCATGATACTGTTTATTGATTTCCTGTAGACAATCTTGCTTCAAGATTTAAAGTCTTGGGATCCGTATTGAGTAGCTCTACCCTGTCCTATCAAGTTGCTTGAGTTGTAACTGACTCAACAATAGCAACATGCTTGGTTTACTATCCTAAGACTAGTTTGAGGGATACTGTCCCTTCCCTGTTGCTTAAATCCACACTCTCAGGCTCCTCCAGCCCCTGTTGCCTCATCCTGACCCCACATTTCCAAGAATGCCCTCCTCTGCTGCCTCTGAGCACTGGCACATGCTCTCCCCAGTGCTGGAATCGCCTCACAGCACAGTGCTCACCACAAAGTCTCATTCATCCTGCTCGTCCTCCCAGATCCTCCTCAGGCAGCCCAAGGCAGGTCCGGCGCCTCCCGAGCACGCAAGTAATGCCCCCCACTCGTCCTGTGGGTCATCACCGGGTTGTGCCTGCATCTTCCATTAAACGACATCATCATCCTCTAGTGGACACGGGCTGTTCATCATGGAGCTCTGTACTCTCAGTTCCAAACAAACTGCCAACCTGTACACGTCCTTAGAAATAGAAGTGAGTGACCGGGCCTGCCTCAGTGGCTGGCACACCATTGGTCCTCAATGAACACATGAAAGTTTTAAGTCCTCAGGGTCATAAGTACCACTGTCACATGCGGTTTCCCCCAAGCATTTCATTCTTCCTTCTTGCTTGTTTTAATTTATCCTACAGCTTGGGAAAACACCCTATTTCACCCCTTCTCTCACTCCAGGGTGAACATCTCCTAGGCTTGGACAGTACTAGGACCCTGCTTCTCTCCCTCACTCACCAATGTCCTGGAGAGCTCAGGCTTCACTTACCTGGTGTGGCAGGAGCCCTGCTGGGCCGGGGAAGCGGCGGGCTTTGGCCGGGGTGGCGGTGCGGGCATGTGGCTGCGGCGTGCGGTTGGTAGCAGTGACCAGCTGCACCAGGTGGTTGGTGACTAGAGGTGTCTGCAGAGCAGCAGAAGCCGCTGGAGCCTGGGGCTCTAAGAGGCCCCGTGGAGAGAACCCAAAGTGAGTCCTTGAAGAGGCAGAACAGGCCAAGCTGGGAGTTCGTGGTCCAGGAAATCGAGGTTTGCCACTTAGGCAGGCCCTTGATGACTGGAGGGGCTGACGGGAGAAACGGTTCTGAGGGCTGCACTGAATAGGACTTCCAGCAGTTTCGAGAGGCTGGGGTGCTGGGAGAGGGGGGCCTTTGGCACTGACTCCCCAGCGGCCTTGTTGCGTGGGGACTGATGAAGCAGCTGGGAGATTACGGTTACCTATGGCACCGGGTCTCAAGTGGCGCTGTGGAGTCCTGCAATGGACAGCTGTATCCAAAGGCTGGCCCTGGACTGAAGCGAGGCCATGGTGCCTACTGTGCAGGGCAAGCATAGGTCCTTTTGGGCAGGACCTGCTCAGCTCAGCTACCCGGGCCTTTTTGGCCAGTGTCAGGTCCTCTCCCTGCCAGGTGGGCAGGGTTCCTGTGGCCTCACTGCTAAGTCCAAGTTCCAGCTCTGTGCCAGGTCCCTCCAGCTCCATGCTTGCCAGGACCTGATCAAATTCATCTTGCCCAGGCCCTTCAAGGCCACCAACCAGCTGCTGTTGATTCTCCAAGGGGGGCAGGGGGCAGGGGGCTGACGACTGGGGTCTCGCCAGCCTGTTGAGTACTTCTACTCTTCTCTGGTTGCCAGAACAGCTGCCAGAAGTTGAGATAGGCCTTAGAGGTGCTGTGTCTGTGGAAACAGGGCCCCTGACAGCCTCGGACATGCTGGAGATAGGGAGGCGGCGGCCCAGGGCTGGCACAGCAGACTCAGGAGGACCAGTGGGGTGTGACAGTGTCCACTCAGTGGAAGACTGTGCCTGCACCATGGCCGGTGACCTGGACAAGACAGATCTCAGGCATCCAGCATTCACAGGCAGTGAGCCAGCAAACTGGTTCTCTGCATCCTCCACTGCTGACAAAAAATCCTACAAAGAAGAGAGACAACAGGTCTTAGGATTTGGAAATCAAGACACACTTACATGCAGGTGGTGTGTTTGTGAATTGACACACAAGCCAGAAACCATGAAAGGCGATGGTGATGTTTCTCCCCGCCTCTGACCATGTCCAAGAGCCCACGGTCCAGCTTCAATCACAAACAGTCTAAGGTTAAATCTTCACGAGGCTTCTCTCGCTCTTCAGTCCCAGGGTGGGGGTGGGGGGCAGTTATGGAAGCAGGAGAAGCAAGGATACAAGGGCACATCTTCATCACGCCGTTCCAAGGTCACACACCATCTCAAGGAGACTAGCTTGCTGGGGTCCAGCCGTTGCAACAGGAAGCTGTCCAGCTGGTCATGCAGCTTATCCTCATTCTACTCCCCCACCGCCAACATGCACAGACGCACCCACCCCCACGCACACGGCCCTCACTAAGCCAAGAGAGCTTGGATCCAGCAAAATAGGCAGAAGTTAAATATAGATTTTTCAGGCAAGTTAAATTAAGTATGGATTCCAGTTGGGAAGAAAGGTGAGATTGACACCTTCAAGAGCAACAGACCTGTTCTGAGGGTGTTTTTGAGTCAGAACTGCTGATTTAACTGACAGGAAGGTCCCCTCCACCCCCACTCCCTATTGCCATATTCATTTGTCTGGGCTAGAATGAAGTTTTTTCCTGCTTTGTGTATTGTCAAGACAGTCATAGGATCACCCTAGGATTTAACAATAATCACGATGATTAGAATTATAGCAGCAATAAAATTCTGATGGTTCTGGGGGCTGATGGATCCCCTCCCTCCCAAAGAACTCTTTCAGACATGATGTCATTCTGCCTTGGGAAGGGGGAAAAATAAGAGTCTGCCTTTTTCATGGAAACCTGACCTGTCAGAGCCCTTCACCCCAATTCTATCACTGGGGAAGAGCCAGCCCTGCCATCAGCCGGTAAGAGCCAGAGGGTCACTTAAATCTTTGTCAATCTGTAATCACACACCTTCAAAGCACAAAGAGAAAGACAAGGAAGGGCACGGCTCATGTAGTAAAAGCATAATCCAGTCCTCAAGCAATAACAAACATAACAAAAGCTTGCAACTGCATCAGGTGCCAGGTCCCACGTAAGCACTGTACCAGAAGTCTCTCAATCAATTCACAATGACCTTATGAATAGCCACTATTACTATTCCCGCTTTATGGCTGCAGGAACTGAAATTCAGGTTAAGTAAGTCCACAGAACCTAGACTAGAATTCATGTGTACCCTTGTCCCTCTGCCTGGGGCCTCAGTAAATGAGCCAAGTCAGAGACTAGTTTTTAAGAGGTCTGAGGCAGGTCCCCTGTTCCCTTCAAACCTTAGCATCAAAAAGCCTTTAGAAAAGGGAAGGGTGGGGTCTGAACTGCCAAAAGACAGTACACAAAAGAAAGTACAGCCTCCACCACTGCACCTGGGACAAAAAGTGGACACCAACAATGAAAGAATTTTTCTTTTACTTTTCAAAGAGAAGAGTATACTGTGGGGGAGAGGTGGGCAGGGAGAAAAGTGCAACAATGAATGAATGGAAATCCAAAGTCTCTGTAAATTTTCATTAAATTAATAATAATAATAATAAAATTTAAAAAAGGGCCTAAGGGAGCTCTGGTGGCCTAGTGGCAAGAAGCTGCATTGCCATCCCAAATGCGTGTGGTTCGAATCCAAGAGATGCTCAGCTGGACAAGGAGGGGAAATCTCCTTCTGTGCCAGTCGGATCCAATTTGACAGTACACAACAACAACAACAAATAAAAAGACAATAAAAATGCACATCCAAAAACTTCTCCAACAGGGTAAAAAGGGAAGCCACAAACTGGGAAAAAGTATTTGGTAATGACATGTCGGATAAGGGACTTATATCTAGAATTTATGAAATACTTGAGCACCACAACACGATAAAGGTAAATAATTCAATAGAAAAATGGGCACAGGATATGAACAGACACTTCACCAAAGAAGATATTCAGATGGCCAACAAGCACATGAAGAAATGTTCAAAATCCTTAGCTCTAAGAGAGATGCAAATCAAAACAACTGTGAGATATCATCTCACCCCAGTCAGAATAGCAAAATTTAACAGAACAACAGCAAGCAACAAATGCTGGCGAGGTTGTGGAGAAACTGGAACTCTTATTCACTGTTGGTGGGAGAGTAAAATGGTACAATCACTGTGGAAGGCGGTATGGCACTTTCTCAAAAAGTTGCAAATAGAGATACCATTTGACCCAACAATTCCACTACTGGGAATATATCCCAAAGAGACTATAACTGACATCCAAGCAGATATATGCACACCCATGTTTATCGCGGCTTTGTTCACAATAGCAAGGACTTGGAAACAACCCTGGTGCCCATCAACAAACGAATGGATCGAAAAGCTGTGGTATATTCACACAATGGAATACTACGCTGCGTTGAAAAACAAGGAACTCATGCAATATTACTCAAAACGGGTGAGCCTGGAGGACATTATGCTGAGGGAAATATCTCAGTCGCAAAAGGACAAACACTGCATGGTGCCACTGCTGTAAAACGGGTCTGATATCAGGGTTGGGGTAAGACTGAGAAAAACTGGATAAACTGAGCATACTGCATTGAAATAGATGAGGGAAAGAATAATTTAAAAGCGATATATGATAGGGTATTATGGTTATCATAGGAGTCCACAATTAAGGTTGCATAGTAGGGGAGCTCTGGTGGCCTAGTGGCAAGGAGCTGCAACTACAATCCCAGAGGCGCATGGTTCAAATCCACCAGATGCTCTGCCGGGGAAGGAGGGACAATCTCCTCCTGTACCAGTCAGATTTGATTTGACGGTACACTCACACAAAAATAATAAAATTTTAAAAAAAAAGGTTGCATAGTGGAGTGTACTTGGGGTGGTGGGGGGGGTGCGGGGGGATTGTATATCAAAGAATTTTTCTTTTACTTTTCAAAGAGAAGAGCGAACTGGAGGTGGGGGTGGGCTGGGTAGGGAGAAAAGTGCAACACTGAATGAATGGAAATCCAAAATCTCTATAAATGTTCATTAAAATTATTAAAATTTAAAAGAAGAAAAAAACAATTAAAAAAAGTTCTAAAGGGAAGTTTTTTAGTCAAAATATTGGGATAGAAAAAAAAAGGACTTTTGAACTGTTTGTCCCTAATGTAACAATAATTCTAACTGTTGTTATTAGGTGCTGTAGAGTCAAGTGCAACTCCTAGTGACCCCAGGAACAACAGATCTGAATTCTGTCCTATCCTGTGCCATCCATCCAATCTCTGACACATTCAAGCCCAATGCCATAGTCCCTGCGTCAATCCACCTGGTTGAGGGCCATCCTTTACTGTCCCTCCACCTTTCCAAGTATGATGTCCCTCTCCTAGCCACACGCCCAAAGTATGTGAGTTGAAGCTTCATCATCTTTTCCTCCAAGGAGCACTCTGGCTGCACCTTCTAACCCCAGAAGACCCCAGTCTTCTAGAAAACCAGACTCTGAGTTGTTTCACTTATGGAGACTCAAACGCAGAGGGACAAAGGAACACATGAATCCTAGTCTTGGTTCTGTGGAATTACTTACCCTGAGTTTCAGCTCCAATGTGAAAGGGCTGCATCTTCTAACTCTAATAAGTGGCTTTTTTTAAAATCTTTCCTCTTTATTTTTTATTTTTATTATTAGTGTGTGTGTGTACCATCAAATCAGATCTGACTGGTACAGGAGGAGATTGTCCCTCCTCCAGCAGAGCATGTGGTGGATTCGAACCGCGTACTTCTAGGATTGCAGTGTAGCTTCTTGCCACTAGGCCACCAGAGCTCGCCATAAATGGCTTTTTTAATGGCTTTCTTGCAGTCCTCATCGTGTTTGTGCTGTATTCGAAGCCTATTAACTTACCCCTATGGACTTTACTCACTTAAACCTTACTTCTTCCTAAAAAAAGGATTTGAGGTAGCAAATTCGGACCTCACAGATGAAACAATATCCATTTTATTTGGGCAGGAAGGGGACTGCGGAGAGGACTGACTAAGTGGTCTCTGACTGCACATTAGAAACACCCTGGCCTGGGACCATCTCCCGAGACTAATCTAACTGATGTGTGGGGTCTAGACAGGAGTGATCCTAGCATGCTGGCACAGTCTCACCATTCACCTGATCAGAGGAAAGCAAAAGGCATTTGAGGCAAAGAAACCCACGCATTCTGCTGAAGAGAAAATGGAAGGCCAGGGAATGAAGTAATTTGCCCAGACTCACAGAGCCAGCTGGTGACCCCCCAGGCCTCCTGCTGTCTCCTACACTCCAAAGGCTCTCTATCAACATTCTTCCCACCTCAAGTGTGTCATCAGGGAGGTGAATTAAATCATCTACATGACACAGCTTCTTCCAAGCCAGAGCTCCCAGAATTTAAGTTTATGACACTTAGGCAACTCATCTCTCTGGGTTTCTTTTGTTGTTTCTAAGATAGTTAAATGGGTTGCTTACATTTCTCAGCTTCTCACAGACAAAAGTTAAATATATCTGGCTGCTCCCAAATGTTCTAGGCCTGGGTGTTTACATCTTAAGACCGTCTCTGTCCCCTATGATCACCAACACATCTTACCTCATCTTCAAACTCTTCTTCTACAGCAAACAGCTTCTGCAAACTGCATGCCTGAAAGGAAAACAAAGCAATTGAGGTTGGAGAAGACATGCTATTTGCAAGTACACGCTGTCCTCCCTCCCTAAGCATCTTCTCAATTGTAGCAAGGTCATTGGGTGTACCATTTTCTGTTTGAGATTTTTTTTTCCCCCCTTAGTGCTGGGGGTGGAAAAGGAAGAGAAGATTTATTTAAAGACTTAGAATGTTTTGTAAAATAATCCACTCAGACAAATTTGCAGGAATCCAGAGGTGGGGAGGTAGCAAAGGCTGTTTAGGAGAACATGGGTGGATATTTAGATCTTAACTAAGAAGCTGTACTGTAATCCCAAAAGCATGTGGTTCAAGCCCACCAGCTGCTCTGAGGCAGAAGGATGGGCAAACTCCTCCATGAGATTTGAAAACCTGCTGGAGAGTCAACTATGGGTTGGTTCCAACTTGACTATACAAAACAACTGTGGAAATCATGGGTTTGCAACATCACAAAGGTTTGGACTCAAAATAACTCTCACAAAAAAGGATATAAATCCACTAATACAGTGGATTTGTTTTTGAAAGCTAAGCTACTTGCTTCCTTTTACCCGTTCCAAGCTCAAAACTGGCATCCCAGGAGAGTAAGATGCATGCCCCATTCCGTGGTCCCTTCTTTCCAAACCAGCCCCAGAAGATTGAAAGAACTACAGTAGAGAAACTTGTCTGTGAGCATCTAAGTAAGGATCATAGTGGAGGAGGCTGCTGGAACAGGGAAAGGGGAGGAGAGAAGAGGTTAAGGGGGCAGTAAGTAATGTTTGAGTGGCTAGGGAAGGATAAACAAGAGTTCTCAAGGAAAAGAAGACAAGCAACTGGAGAGAAAATGAGGCTCAAAGAAGGGGGTAGTGTCTTCTTAGGATCTTTCACGGGGTCCCAGCCAATCCCTGACCAATGCTCACGGCTCCTGCCCTACTTGAGCTCTTGCCCCCTCCCCACCACCAGCTGTGCAGCTCGCGCAGGCGCAGATGAGAAGCAGACGGCGGTGGCGGTGGATCCCGGGGCTCAGGGATTAGGCGGCCAGAGACCCTCCCGCGAGGACACCACATTACCATGGCGACGGCCGGAGGGCTCCGACCGGTGGGCTGGGCCGCTGGTTTAAGCAGGGTGGGTGCTCGGGTCTCGGACTCGGCCCTGGTAGAAGGGTAGGAGTCAGGCGATGGTGGCCCTAAGGAGAGGCCCGAAGGCTGCGTCGCAACGACCAAGCAAACATCTCCGGTAAATTAGGGGCTGACGTCCCAGGCAGCATTCGAAGCAGCCGCCACTGCTGTGTCTCCGCCCTCTTAAAGGGCGGGCCTATTTCTAGTTTGCCGACACAAAGGCCTTTCACCCACCAGTCTTCCGCTCTACCCTTAAAGGGGAAGTTAATGTGCTCTAGGTCGCCGCCCAGTGGGCTGTACTCCGGGTGGAGTTTTTCACCAGGTAAAGTGAGAGCCAAACTGGGGAATGTTAGGCGGTTTATATCCACCCCTGCCCATCTACACGGAGAGCCCTGGTGGTGCAGGATTAAGCACTCACCTGCGAACCAAAAGGTGGGCAGTTTGAACCCACCCTAAGAAAAAGAGATAACGATTTGCTTCTTTAAAGATTGCGAGTTGTTGTTTGGTGCCAACCAGTGATTACTGCTTTTAAGGACCCTGTGAACAACCTATCAAAACCTTGCCCTATCATGCACCATCCTCACAATCTCCACTATTCTCAAGCCGCCTCGTGTTGTAGTCAGCTCCTGAGGGTCTTCCCCTCTTTTGCTGAACCTCTAATTTCCAACTATGATGTCTTTTTCCAAGGATTGGGGCACCCAGACCATATACCCAAACCACTGACTGTCCTTGCTTCAAGGAGCATGTGGGTTGCACTTCCTTTAAGACAGATTTATTTGTTCTTTAGGCAGTCAGTATTCTTCACTAACATCATAATTCAAAGGCATCAGTTCTTCAGTTTTCTTTATCCATTTCACTTGCATATGAAGCAATTGAAAATATGATGGCTTGGATCAGACATACATTAGTCTTTAAAATGGCACCCATGTTCTTGAGCATTTTAAGGAAGTCCTTAAGAGCAGACTTGCCCAATGCAGCACATCTTTTGGTTTTTTTGACTGCCCGGTGTTGTGGGTCCAAATAAAATGAAGTAATTGACAACTTCAGTATTTTCATCTATCATAATGTTACCTGTTGGCCCAATGGTGAGGATTTTTGTTTTCTTGAGGTTGAGCCATAGTACTTCAAGTCTTCATAATTTTCTGCAAACAAAATTATATTGTTGATGAGTCTTCCTCCAATCCTGATGCCACATTCTTCAGCTTCTCAAATTATTTGCTCAGCATACAGTTTGAATAAGCATGAACAAAGAATACTGCCTTGCTACATTTCCCTCATTTTAAACCATGCAATATTTCCTTGTTTTGTTTAAAGGACTGCTTCTTGGTCTATGTATACATTTCAAATTAGTACATTCCTAGTTTAACAGAAGAGAGGAGAGTGAGGAGAAAAAAACTCTAACAAAACAAACAAAACCCAACCCTTTTGCCACTGAATCATTCTAACTCATAGTGGACCCTATAGGGCAGAGAACAGCTCAATAAAATTCCAGTATTCTGGAATTTCCATTCTTTCCAATGTTATCAATAATTTATTATAGCCCTCGCTGTCAAATACTTTCCCATAGTCAATATAACACAAGTAAACATCTTTCAGGTGTTTTCTGCTTTCGGCCAAGATCCATCTGGTATTAACAACGGCAGCCCTCATTCTATGACTCCTGAATCCAGGCTGAATTTCTGGCAATTCCCTGTCAATGCACTGTATCAGCCATTTAAAAATAATACTCGGCAAGATTTTACTTGTGTGTGATATTAATTACACTGTGGGATAATTTCCACATTCTTTTGGATCACCTTTATTGAGGAGAACAAATAGAGATCTCTTCCAGTTAATTGACCAGATAGTTATCTTCCAGGTTTCTTAGCATAGACTAGTGAACTCCTCCAGGGCTGCATCTATTTGTTGAAATGACTCAAGTGATATTCCATCAATTCCTGGAATCTTCTTTTTGGCCAATGCTTTCAGTGCAACTTAGACTTCTTCCTTCAGTTCATTTGGTTCTTGGTCGTATACTACTTCCTGAAATAGTTCAGCCTAGACCAATTCTTTTTGGTGTGGAGACATCTATCTTTTTTTGATGCTTCCTGTATCATTCCATATTTCCCCCCATAATCTTTCAATATTGGATCATGAAGTTCAAAATTTTTCTTCAGTTCTTTCAGAAATGTCAAGCATGTTCTTCCCTTTGGATTTTCTAACTCCAGGTATTTTCATATTTCTTCTAGTACTTTGCTTTGTCTTCTCTAGCTTCCTTGGTTTTTTTGTCTTCTCTAGCTGCCTCTGTTCAGGTCCTACTTCATCATTTCTTCTTTTGCTTTGTTCTTTCTCTATGTTCAATAGCAAGTTACAGAGTATGTTTGACATTCACTTCCATTTTTTCTTTCTTTCCTCCCTCTTAAGTGGCCTCTTGCTTTCTTTATATATTATGTTCTCAATGTCATCCCACAACGTATCTGGTCTTCAGTTGTTTTGTGTTCAATGCACCTCAAGGTGGTTTTCAAATTCAGTAGGATAAACTCAAGGTCATATTTTGACTGTCATAGATTTATTTTCATTTTCTTCAGGTTCAATCTGAACTTGTACATGAGTAATTGATGGCCTGTTCCAGTTAACCCTTGGCCTTGTTTTGATGGCTGATATTGAGCTTCTCCATCTTCTCATTTCACAGATACAGTCCATTTTACTCCTATTTAGTCCATTAGCAAAGTCTGTATGTATAGTCACTAGATTTTATAAAAAAGGTAACTTGCAGAGGCAGTTTTTGAGATAATTCTCACTGCTTTTCCAGAACTTCAACAAAGTATTTTGGATACCAGACGAGGGGAAGGTACTTGTAATGAATAAACCATTAATTGTACAAAATTCCATCATGCCATCTCCAGTCTTATTTCTGTCACCAAGGCCATACTTTCCAGCTGCTAGTCTTACTCTTCTTGGTTTCCAACTTTTGCATTGTAGTCACCAATTATTGTTAATGAGTTTGAGCGCAAAAGTTGGTAGAAATCCTCATTTTCTTCATCTTTGGCTTTAGTGTTTGGTGCCTCTGTCAGAATAATAGTTGTATTAACAAGTCACTGACAGTGTTGTGCTGCTTGTGGGTTGATCTTAAACAGATGAGAGCGAGAACTGTTTAAAAGAGATAGATGATTAGATATTATTGTTTATGACAAGAGTACAGAACGAAGGTTGCAAAGTGGAGGAGACTTGGGGGGAAGGATTGAATAGTAATGAAATAATTTTTTCTTTTGCTTTTAAAAAAGAAAAGCAAATGGGGGAGCGGTGGGCAGGGAGAAAAGTGCAAAATGAATGAATGGAAATCCAAAGTCTCTGTAAACTTTCATTAAATTAAAATTTAAAAAAACATTTTTGATGGTGAATGTGACACTATTCATCTTCAATTTGTCATTCCCAGAATTGCAGATGATGTGACTTTCTGATTCACAGTAAGTTCATCTCATCTCACTAATCCCTAGGTGTTCATTTTTATGGATTCATTTCATTTTTTACAACTTTCAATTTTCCTAGATTCTTTCTTCACACATTCCTTAAAACCTTATGGTGCAGTTCTCTCCCTTATAGAATTTAGTATAAGTTGAAATGCCTCATAGATGGCAAAAGTTTGTGTATTTCGTTGTTTTGGATTTTCATTTGTTTGTTTACTCACCCTCCTCTCTTCTGTTAAGCTGGGGACTATATACTAGAGTGAGTCTCTCATTCACACCAAAATCTACCCAGTCAGTTTATCTCACTAGTGTTCAGTCTATTCATTTAAATATTCATTTATCCAGCTACTAACAACAACTCTTGCAACACAAATTTGTTAAACAACAATTTTTGTTCTTCATGTCTCAGCTCAGATCTCAGATGTTCCTTGCTACCTTACTCTCAAGAGATACACCACAAATCTTAACAATATTTTTCTTCTTCTTGTCACAATTTATAATTGTCATTGTGAGTCATCCTTATTAGAATATAAGCACCATGAGAGCAGGGACTTTGTCTAGTTTGCTCAGCTTTGTATGCTTGTCATCAAGCACAATATTCAATAAGAGTTATTGAATGAATGAATGACTATTATGTAACCTAGAGAAATTAAGATTTTCATATAGATGGATTTACAAACAAATCAAAGAGACGGATAGAGTGTAGAAAAGTCATGCGGAGAGATGGACAGGGTCTCTTCACAAAAGCCTGCTGTAGCTAATGACCCTAAGTCCTACCTCAGTTTTCCTTTTTACTGTACTCCTAGGAAGCTGGTTGGAGTGGCTGCAAGACTCCAAAGGTAGGAGGATGGTAGCTGACTTGGTGCTTAGCCACGTGATCTGAGCCAGCCCTGGATTTTCCTGTGGGCCGTGAGAGCTGGACGTGGACCTATTTATCTGTCATGTCAGAATGGAGATTTGAATGGCCATGGGAGAGGTGATCCAAGAGCCCCAAGCCCCATGCTTCTGAGCTAGAGAACAAAGTTTCCACCCACTCTTTCCAGGCTGCCTTTCTCTGTGTAACCCCAGGCACAGCTCACCCTACCCAGCTGTGGAAAGTCCTGGAGGCCTGGGCACAGGGCTCTGTTGGCGCCAGCTTAAAGGAGATAATGGAACTCAAAAGCCAAGAGGAATAATAATTGTGTCTACACTGTAGTCCATAAATACCAATTTTTTTTTAAATTTAATTTTATTTTATCATTTTGTGTGTGTGTACCATCAAATTGGATCTGACAGGTACAGGAGGAGATTGCCCCTCCTTCTCCAGCAGATCATCTGGTGGATTCGAACCATGTACCTCTCGGATTGCAGTGTAGCTTCTTGCCACTAGGGCTCCCTCATAAATACCAATTTTAATTCCAGTGTTTGGTCCTCACAAAATTCTGTAAAGACTGAAAGAAAGGTATTACTTGACAGGTAAGGAAACTGAGGCAAGGACTTACTTAGGGACAGAACCACGTAGCGGGGGAC